GCCCACACAGTTTACCACGAGCCTGGCCATGCTCAACCACATAGAAACAAATAATCATACATTCATGGCTTCTCTTTCTTTATCATAGTTTAAACAAATTTGCACCCATTGTGTGATGAAAAGGAGGAAAAAACCAGGAAAGTAATCAAGAATCGTTTTGTAGTTGTCCGGAGCCGTAAAGCTCCTCGGTCTTCATCGCGTCCTTGCCAAGTTGTGCCTGTAACCCAGCACAACCCGGCACATCTGGCTCTACTTACAGCCTCTCTGCTTGTGTTAGTTGTGATGTTATGACAGCGCAGTGACTGAGAAGATTACACTGTGAGGACATGGAGCTGCTCTCGGTGCAGGGTCAGTGGCCTCGTTTAGGCAAAGAGACACAAACCCCCTTGAGGTTTTCCAGCAGCGCAGCTGTTCCTCTGGTGTCGTCCACCCTCTCATGTTGTTCTTCTGTTTTCTCTCACAGGAAGTTCGTTGAAGACGAGACGTCCGTAGAGGGCGAACCTCAAAGGGGCTTTTAACCTCTGACAGCCCATCGACCGTCCCAGCTTCAGGAACCCCGCCTCCCCGCTCCCCCCTGCTGAGCTCACTTCCTGGGAGAAGCAGGAGGAGCCGCCGATTGGTGGATTGTCGGACGTGACGAAAACCTGTCTGTAAGTTCAGATACGATTCCCATTTCCTGTACATAGAGAGCAGACTGTAATAAGTACATTTGCTGAGTTGAAGCACATTAAAACTTCATTCCTTTGCATATCTCTTAATCTATTGATAACAGTTCATCAAGATAACACAGCTTAATTTCTATGCTAAATTCAGATTTAAATATCATAAATCAAAAATGTGCCTTAAAGGACGACATCCTCCATCAAGTTAGACATGAATAAACTCCAATAAACGTGGGGAGAGCAACTGAGGAAGGTTAGATATACAATAGATGTTGGATTTACACACTTGAGATAATTTATTTTTTTTTAAATCTGTACTCATGTTATATCCTCCTCAAAAACTCAATTGCCAGAAATGCCATGCAGCTCCGTGGGTCGCTGATGAACGCAGGAAATAATAAAATAGTTTTGTGCTATGATTTAATGTTCACACCCTGCGAGGCTCAGATTGGCGACAGTAATGAGAGGAAACGTCTGCCAATTAACAGCCTTCCCCTGTTATAGCCGTATCTGATTGTGTGAGCCAGTGCGGGTCGAGAGCTTTCAAGCACATCTCTGCCTCACACACACACACACACACACACACACACACACACACACACACACACATACACACACACACACACACACACAGGTAGACAAATAAACAGGAATAGTTGGTAACACAAACATATTGTTTTACTGGGCTTGGCAGCGGCTTTGTTGCGATGAGCTCTTACTTTGGGTGATTTGACATCATGAATGCTGACGTTGGACTCTGGATCTCTTCATTCATGCCCCCCCTTTATAAAGCCGCGGTCGTGTGATCCCTCTTTTGGCTGCCTGTGCATACATGCAGCACGGGACCATTGTGGAGCGTTGCGCGCCAGTCAAAGCGAATAGGAGCCCACCGCTTTTGCATTGCACTCCGCTGACAGCGGGGAAACAATACGTGATGGCTTGGTTAGAAGGTTGAGTACACAGCAAGGAGGTGTTGGTGCTGAACTGGATCAGTGGCATCGTGGTGGCATGAGGGGCCCTGATGTGGACAGCCATTTTCTGGCTGTCATTACCGATGACACAAAGACGTATCAAAGGGGGTGAAATGGGACAGAATGGCAGTCAGTGTGGGTGCACAGGCGTGAAACATGATCAGACCGCCGAGTTGAATAGAGGTATTATCGTGCCAAAAATGTGAGGGAGAGACGGAGGCAGAAACAGAGTGAGTGGCATTGCTTTCATATCTTGTCACCCACTCACTTGACAATGCAAACACTGTGTCCTTGTCGCTGTAAGTGAGGCATAGTTTGATGCATAGTTTGGATGTATGAACATTTGTTCATGGCCCACATGCTTTAGTGGGGAGGGGGGGAAGCACAAAGGATCTTTGTGTACCAAAGCAAAACACCGTGCCTTCAGCGAATCCTGCCCTCTGTCTTAATTTGCACAACTCTGCAAGCAAACGCGCCGAGTCGAAGCTCTCAAACCTGCGTGATGTGATTGATAGCCGCAGATGGGTTCATATTTTGCTCTATTCATTTCCAGTTTATTTTTGAAAACACATTAAAATTGCTCTACAGCCCATCAGCCCTCCGCATGACTATAGATTCAGCTCCTGTCTGCTCAGATACCGAATTAAAGAACGATTTCTCCAAATCAGTCCCACACTGAGAATACAGCTGTCTCCGCTTTTCTCTTTTTCACTCTTTCTTTTTTTAAAGATTAAATTGTAGATTTGTGTGTGAAAGTTTTTGCCTTTGCGTTAAAGACTGGACGGGGAAAGTTTGCAGAAAGAGGAGACATGTGACAAAGATCCTGGTTTAAACCTGGAGTTCTGCACGGATGTGGTTTGTACTCGGGGCGGCGGGATGAACCCCTCCGTGCATATTCCTTATCTTTGCCCTCTGATAAACTCCCGTTGACCTCTCTCCCCGCTTGCCCCAAGGGCTTGAGTCTTTGTCAGCGCCCTTATTTTCTCCTCCTTTCCCTTTCTTCTGTGTTGCTTCCTGAGCCGTGCTCTTGTTCAATGTTAAATGAGGGCATGGCCACACTTGGATGTGCTGTGACAAATTGGCACAGAGGAGGCAGATGGTGACGGGGAGGAGACTGGTTGTCATGCCATTTGCTGCAGCGACATGAATTGATCTCCGTGCCGCAGAGCAAGCGCACACACGGTCCACTTGTGTAATCCTGACTTTGGTTGCTCCATATGCACACGCACACACACAAGAGCAAACTCTGATCCACATGCCACCCCACACCAGCCTTCCGTCCCCATTAGTATCAATGATGTGTGCAGCAGAGGCGCTCGCTAACTGTCAGAGGCTCTCCGCTTGGATCCGCTCAGAGAGGCGAAGGGGCGCTGAGGGATTTTGACAGAGAGACGGAGCTCAGACTAATGGTAGGCTGGTGGGACTCTGGGAGCAGCGACACACGGCCTACTATAGTACGCGCAGCATCACCCGTGTACTGTACATGTCAGCAGCATGCACATGTAAGCAGGCTGCTCTATTCGCAGAGCAGCTGTCTTAACAATGTTTACTCACGAGGCTTTTGCTGCAGCTTGACTAAAATCCTCATGGGTGTTTTTCATTGCAGCATGACTTCTGGTAAGATCATAGTTTGTCTGACAGGACTGGCATTGCTCATTAGGCTGTGTCCCAGGGATCTGAAAATGTTCCCCAATTGAGGGCTTTTTTTTTTTTATTTGTTTGTTTTTCTCACAGCTGTGTTGAGCAAAGATTTTAAAATACACCCATGGTAACGTAAATCACACGGGAAGGCATGCAGGAATAGTATCTGCTCTCAGAGAAAGTGGAGAAGTTCAAACGGAGTAAACTTTATTGACTAATGTCGGCTCTCCTCAACCTTTGGAAGGAAGCAGGTAGATGAATGTGCTGACAGTTGGCTTGGTGTTGCACAGATAAAAACAGAAACACAAAACAGTTTCCAGCAGTTTAACAGCAGCACTTGCATGATGCATTGATCATTTTGCCAAACTGGGTGACTTCAAACTGCATTACACTGCCTAAAAAATTAACTCTGAAGATGAAACAAATACAGAGAAATCATCATTGAATGGCATTTTACTGGTTTCCTTGAAGAAGGGTTGTAATTACATGCACGTCACGTATGTGCAGGCCGTTTAATAAGCCAAAGACAGCAACGCCTGCACACTCCACTCCGAAGCCACAAGTCAAATTTTAATTACACACAATATTTGGGTCCAACTCGGATTTCAATCAGGTCAAAAATCTTTTCAAACACTTTTGAGTTATTAATAATATTAGAACTAAAGTTTGTTTGTTTGTTTTAACCAGAAATGTTGAATAAAGTTGTAAAAGAGACTCACCGGCATCACAAACACACAGCAGCTCGGTGAGAACGCTGCTTACAGGCATCTCTGGTAAAACTCATATTATGTCTCAGTCTGGGCTTTTTTTTTTTCCTGAAGTGAAAAACGGTGCCAGCTTTTGTTTATCATTCTGAGCAACTGTTTGCAGCTGACTCCTAAGTAGCCAGCAACTAATTGTATTTTAGCATCTGAGCTATGAGCTCATAACATATTCCCAGCTACTCTTACAGCAGTCCCAGCCAAGCTTGCAAGGTTTGGCCAAAACATTTGTTAGCATGTCTTAATGTCCTTTGGGTGCCTCAATAAAGCACCACAGATGCTGGCACATTAAAAAATCACCATGCAAACATTAGTCTTGTGCAATTAGTCTGTTTACGAGTTTTAAGACATGATAGTTTTCTTTTGTAGCTAAATAAGTTACATGCATAAATGAAGCTCAGAAAAGAGGAAGCAATCTGCATTAATCACTCCACGCTGAGTTAACCATTAAAGGCACACAGGGTTTCAAACGAGTGAGGTTCGCTAATGGATCAGATTTTCTTTTCATTAAAAACCCTGTGTTCAGTCCGTGGGCGGGAGGATGGGATAATTGCTGGCTTTAGCTCTCCTCACCTGGAACGTGACGGGATAACTTTCCCACGGTTGCTTAATATTCAGTGGACCTGCGAGCCCTAAGCAGGGGATATCGATCAGCAGATGTGATGTATTCCCTGCCTTCCTAACAGGCATCTGTCGAGCAAAGAGCAAAGTTCTGAAACGGTTGACTCCCTTTCAAGCAGTGAAAAGAATTATTCTTTTTTACAGATCGCTATTTGAGCTGGTATCCACCAGTGATCTGATGAGCTTTACCACTACAGAGGGAACCATATCGACTTTCCTCTGAAACACACCTCTCGGACTAATATTTGGATTTCAAAGCGACTTTTTGCTGACTTTCATGTTTATCAGTGGCTAATTATCCGCACATGGTCGAGCCAAAGTGATGCAACTTCTTGGGGCTCAACTAGCCAGCTTAGCAAAAAAAAAAAAAGAAGTACAAGCCTCACACAGCAGGCAATGTTTTATGAGATGTCCACACGCTATTAGACACTCTGAGATGCTGGACAGGAGCCAGTTTGTTGTAGGAACACACACAAATGGATTTGTGTGTCCGTGCCGGAGCAAGCTGTGAAAAACAGCCCTCCGTTTGTGGTAACAGCTCTTTCACTGTCAGCACAAACAATCTGCGGCCCTTCGTCCCCATAACCACGACCAGTGTTCGCGTTTGCCGCATTCACGCTGAAACAAGAAGCTTCCAGAACGTGGAGTGCAAAAACAAATCTGCAGCTGAGTTAAAATAAACCACCTCCCTGTAACGGGAGAGAAAAGAGCGCGACTGCTTCCACGACGTCGGCAAACATGGCCGCGGCCCTCCTGCCTTAAACATCTCTGTCAGGAACGAGCGTCCTGCTGCTGCGGATTTGTTCTTTACTTTCACCTCGGGCCTCTCATCTCCAAGTAATTTCATCCCTATGCTCTGGTTGAAAACATTTAGTAATTTTGGATAATGAGGCTGGGATTACTGGAGTTGAGGTGAAAGGCAGGAAGCCCTCCAAAGCTTGACTCCAGGCTGTTTATAATTACAATTCAAATGAGCAAAGGGTCAACAGTTTTT